GATGGCTTGCTGAATAAGTGGTTTATTTTGAGCGCCACCCTTCGACGTGGTTTGTGGTCCTTGGACCCTCTCTATTGAAGTGGTTCCACATCAGGTGGTGATGGATGCCTCTGAAAGGGCAGAGGACATCGGAGACGGTGTTGATTGTTGACGAACATCCTGCTTTGCAACATATCCGATGGATTCTGTCTCCTTTAGTACCCTTCACTCTGTACTTATATCCGTTAAAGATTCGTTCAAGTGTCTGCCTCCGCGTGAATTTGGAACGAATCTGATATTGACCTGTGCGTTTGCCATTCGCAATGACTAAACAATCAATCAGACAATCTTTTGGAGTTTAACGACCGCTTCTGGCATTGAAAATGTCGCAGGCAGGTGTCAATTTTGATACCGAATAAGAGTGAGTGAGTGAATGAGTGAGTGTTGGTTTACGCCGCTATTAGCAATATTCCAGCGATATCACGGCGGGGGACACCAGAAATGGGCCCGAATAATGGTGAGAGTGTTGTAAAGCAAGGATAGAGAAAAATTATATGTATCAGTCAAGCTGATGTCAACATAAAAACCTATGAAATAAAGAAAAAAACAGGGATAAATTTAATACCTATGCAATAAAGACGTTAGGGTGAAGGGGGCGGGGGTGTCCATCCGGATCAGAATTTTAGTACATGGTGTTTATGCTGGTTGTTTATGAAGGGTAATTTGTTTGGGACAGTTCTAAAATCTGTTTTGGAGATTAGTGTTTAACCCACTTTTAAACACAGACACTGCTTAGTATTGTCCGAGATTTTGTTATGCGTAAGAAACTTCTGTGCGATAATTTGTCCCTTTTTCGTTAAAAATATCTGAACGATATAATGAATATATGTTAGGCGTTAAACGAGTGTTTATTCAATTGACAACGAGTGCACAAGGAATGACGTAATCATGGCATTGAGCACTTCAGCATGCATTTATCATAAACACGACGGAAAGCCGAATGAAGTTTGCAATTGGCAGTGCCATCTGCCGTTCTTTATTGTCAACGTTGTCCTCCAGCAGTTCAGTGTCCTTTTTGTGCACTGTCGTTCTTTTGTACAACTTGTTCTTTCTTTACATATGACGGGTTTTTTGCGAGTTGTTCATTGGTATCGTTTAGTATTTTGAATTCATTATTTGTATGTAAACAATTACCTTTATTTGTAACATTCATTCTTTATTCGTAACATATGACTATTATTGCGTACTTTTGTTCTTGATTTCAAGTTTGTATTTTTTGACCGAATGGCCGCCCAGTGTTTGTTAATCAACTTGCGATTTTGGGGGGCATATCTGGCATAAAGGTGAAAATTGCACAGATGAATAGTTGGATGGGCGGTGGCCGCATTAGAAACTTAAAGATTAAAAAATCGATCGAAACAAAACATTAATAAAATTAACAGTATTTGTTTTCTTTGCTCGGATAATTGTTTACTACTGATAATATTCAATTTTCATCACTGATGGGAATTGGTATAACAGTATTATCTTGAAAGTAAACAATCGCCATGGAATTTGTTGGTTACTGTTGTGAGCATAGATACAGTTATCCCTCTATCTTCAGAGGTTCAGGTCAGTTTGTCAAAAATGAAAGCAAATGTGATCTGAAGTTTACTGTAAAAACAACATGTGACATTCTGGACTTTCTCATTGATATCTGTGGATACGATATGTAGGTTTGGAATTTGGCATCCCCATGGGCAGCAATTGTGCTTATAACCTTGCTGATCTGTCTTTATGCATATGAATCGGAATTTCTGCTCCGATTGGCAAAAATCATAACACGGGCAAGACATTTGAGATATGCTTCGGGTCTTTTAATGATCGGGGGCACGGGTGGCCCAGTCGTCTAAGGCGCCGCGATTCGCTGTGCAGGGTTGCGTCCCCTGGGCACGCCAGAAACCTATGATTGTGGGTTCGAATCCCGGTTCGCCCCGATTATGTTTCTAGGTTTGTCAGCACCATACCCGTGCTCGTGGGTTTCACCGAAGTGGTAAACGTCTGAGACATGCATCACTTCGGGCTTTCCTCCCACATTAAGCTGACACGCCGCGATATAACTTGAATAATGTTAAAAGCGGCCTTAAACCAAACTCACTCACTCACTCTTTTGATGATCTGATATCGTTTAGTAATGGTCAAATAACCAATGATTTACCCAACTGAAGTAGAACTAATAGAAACCAGTGAAACCGCCACATCTGTTTCATATTTAGATCCATGCATACAGATTCAGAGGGACAAACTGTCCACAAGACTGTATGACAAGAGGGATGACTTCAACTTGCAGCAGTCAGCTTACCCACTGTCAGTCTAATAGTAAAATTTCGACCATTATTCCAGTAGCTGCAGACTTTTGTGTCGACAAGTTCACAGCGTTTCAGGTACAAACGTGCATGCTCTTTCTCTGTCCATTTCAAGAGCGCCGTACAACTATTTCTCAAAAGTTATTTGATGAGGGTTAGAGTATGCGAGGCCTTTGTAAGGCTTCTAGAAAGTTTTATTGCTGAAAGTTTTATTGGTTGGTTGGTTGGTTTAATGTTTTACGCCGCACTCAGCAATATTCCAGCTATATGACGGCGGTCTGTAAATAATCGAGTTTGGACCAGACAATCCAGTGATTAATATCATGAGCATCGATCCGCGCAATTGGGATCGATGACATGCATCAACCAAGTCAGCGAGCCTGACCACCCGATCTCGTTAGTCGGCTCTTACGACAAGCATATAGTCGCCTTTTACGGCAAGCATGGGTTGCTGAAGATCTATTCTACCCCGGATCTTCACGGGTCGAAAGTTTTACTGGACACAGGTGGGGCAGGATACGCTAATCTTTTCTCAAACATGAAGTAGCGTCGCTTTTGATCAGTTGTCGTTGTCGTTCACATACATGTTGAAAAAGAATGGGGATCAATACATATGGGTATCTCTCATATGACTTGTAACCTTCTTTATTGTTTACAAAGAAAAAATCTGTGTTTGTTAGAGTTCGCTAGCATCCCATGCATAAGCAACATATGTATCCAAACGTGAAACGTATGGGTGGTGGGGTGGGGGGGATGGGGGGGTGGGGGTGGGGGGGGGGGGGGGGGGGGGGTCGTGGATGAAAAATAATCAGTGATAGTTTGGATGAACATTCCACTGTGGTGTAACACACAGCTCATAATCCGAAATGCATTGGCAACGCCGTCTGTTTCCACAATGAATGGTCTTACAGTAGCAGCAATAATTTGTGGTGGTAAGTATGTGTAATGTGCATTTTCGTTCATCACCACATCTAAATTTTAGGATTACAGATCCAGCGACCGTTATTTGGAGATATCTTATGAAACCCATACTGGAACTTTTTTAAATTGTTTTTGTATAGTTTCACGAATTTCCAGTTTAATATCAAGTCTCCGAATAAATGGACTTTATATCATTTTGTTGAAGACAAAGTATTATCTATAAGATGATTGTCAGGCCACAACTTGTCATACTTAGGCCCTCACAACGATCACATTGGATCACTTTATCACTGTATTGTCTGTCTGTGGTGTGTTATAATTGATGTTATTTGACGTTATGCTATGACTATTACGTATCCTCAAACAGGGCCGCTCAGCTGTTGTTGTTTTTTCCGAATTTCAAAGTCAGTGGCTGTTACTTTTAATTTATTTTTGTCGGTAATACCCGTCTCGAAAGCATATAAAATGCCATACTCTCAGACCACAAAAGACTTGGTTGTTTACAGATCGCCCTCGTAAGGCAGGAGCACCCCTGTGAATCATAAGGCAAAAAACGTTTACCGTATTCGATGTAATAAGCGCCCCGCTCTAATAAGCGCCCACGGCGATATTTGCTAATATATTGGCTAGTGAAGAATCCCAATTATAGCACCCCTTCCGATTGATCAATGTACACAAGACTTATTTATTCGTGGATAATACGCACTCGTGTGTTATATGCACCCATTATGGGCAATTAAATTCTGGAAAAATATATCTGTCGTACATAAACATTTCAGGCTGTCACTATAAACCACGAAATTTATCTTTCAACTCTTTTGTCACCAACATAAAATTCTAATAAGAGCCCCCTATTTCTAATTTTGCGAGCGCCCTCGGCGCTTATTACGTCGAACACGGTACCCTTTAATGCAAACTGTGCAAGTGGTGGGTGCTTCCGGTAGAGCAGGACCTGCTTACCCATTTATGAACACCTTGATTTTCAGTGATCCATTACTATAATATTCTCACCTCTATTTTACCTTATACGCCCAATGGAATCTGTTTCGGTGGATACTCGAGACTGATAATTCTCTGGTGATGAGGTTTTAAATCCTAATGTTATTTTGACACAGACAAAACATAAACGAACAAAGATCCAAGCCGATATCCAACGGTTTTAAGTTGTAATATTACTGCGTGACCTTGCCCTGGCCAGTTTAGAAGCATGGTCGCAGTCGCTGGAATATTTATTAAGTAAATCAATGTATGAAATTGCCTACCGGTCAGGTTTGATAAAGAAGACTTTGTTCTTTCATTATTATTATTATTAATAATATTATTATTATTATTATTATTATTATTATTATTATTATTATTATTATTATTATTATTATTATCATCATCATCATCATCATCATCGGCGTCGTCGTCGTCGTCGTTGTTGTTCTTGAAACTACAACTGCTTACATGGACCCTATGCTGATGGAATTTATGGCTTTTTTTAGACGTTTCTCGTCTTTCTGTTTTCTTCAGATGAGAGCACACTGTTTAACACCGCAGTCACCAATATTACACCATTACAGCAAACTAATGGACTGGACAAGTCAGTGGTTGATATCATGAGCAATATTTCATGAAGGTCGAGAGTGACTGATCACAGATTAACACAAGCATATAATGATCCGATTGAATCAATAATTCAGCCATTATAATACGCCATTACTACTAACTTACATCGGCCCAAGTATTAAGTATTTTAATTGCCTTTTTAAGGTCAAGCTGCGACTAATGTTGCCTTGAGGAAACCAACCACAGAGAGCAGCTTCTATGGCGTCAATTCAAGCGGCGCAGTGGACGGCAACACAAATCCTGGTTGGGGATCCATGTCCTGCTTTCAAGCCGGTGCAAGTGATCCAGCCCCTTGGTGGCAGGTGGATCTACGTGGGTATTATGCCATTACCACAATAGTGGCCACAGCGCGCACAGGTGGATGTTGCGGTGAGTCGAAATATTGGTTGGGTGGATCCTTTAGAGATGGGATGTTGTTTGGGCACTGCTTCTTAACACCCAATTCTTACTGTGAAAGAAGGAGCCAAAAAAGGATTTCTGTAAGCATCATCAAAATTAAAAAATTAAAAATCTCAGATGAATATATTTTAAGTTTGTAACTGTTTTTAGAAATAATATTTTATGTCCGTTTCGTCCCTTTAATTGTATGTTACGAGTTTTCTATCATCGTAATAATGCTGTTTGTTATATTGAACCGCCTTCGTGGTCGATTCCCGGGAGCGTCATACCAACACGCGTTAAAAATGGTACTTTTTGTTACCCTGCCTGACACACATTAAGATTACAAAGAAGAACTGGTCGGCTTGAAATCAGTGTGCTGTGTTTGAGTGGGGTGACCAGGTCAGGTGAGGTAAGGTGAAATGGGGTTTAACGTCGCGTCCAAGATTATTGCACTTATATAGCGACGTGCATGTTCGTGTGTGTGTTTGTGTTGATGCTTGTACTAGTCCGGACTGATGCCGATTTAATGTGCTAGCTCACTGAGATACCATGCCAAAGTTTAACATGAATACCCCACTCAGACACAGTATACTCCGAGCCGACCAGTCCTTGTTTAAGCCCCTTAATGCCGAGCGCCAGACAGGGTAACAACATCTTTTAACGTCTTTTGGTATGGCACGGCCGGGGATCGAACCCTGGACCTTCCGCTCTCGGGGCAGACGCTCTACCACTAGACCACGGAGGCGGTCCGGACGACCAGGTCAAACAGCATCATGGTACTTCAGGTGGTCCAGGTTAAACCGGTATTAGTCCAAACTAGTACAAGCAGCCACAAACGCACGCATGCACGCAATAACATGTAACGCAACGATAAGCCCAATTTAAACTCAGTACACCTTGTTGCATTGATTAAGTGAATGTGTATGTATCGTCCGCCCAGTTTATCAATATGCCAGTTATATACGGCGGGGGACGCCATAAACTGACTTTACACATTGTATCTCTATGGGCAATCAAATCCGGCGAATGATTTAACTACTAGACTACGCAACTACGTTTGTTTCGAACCCGAGACTTTGAGCATATGTTTTATTGTAGTGAGTGATTGAGTATGGTTTTACGCCGCTTTTGGATATATTCCAGCAATATCACGGCGGAGGACACCAGAAATGGGCTTCACACATTGTACCCATGTCGGGAATCGAACCCGGGTCTTCGGCGTTACGACCGAACGCTTTAACCACTAGGCTACCCGACCGCCCCCTGTTTTATTGTAGGTACAAGTGTTGAATAGATGAGCCCTTGTTGTTTTTAGTCTTGTGTTATGTGTTAAGTTACAACACAAGTGCGATTTCGTTTCCATTCACAAACAACATATTTTTCTGCGGTTGTTTTAGATGTCCAATGTCCAAGGGAATATTGGAAATTTACAACTTCTTTCTCCAATTTCTTCAGATACACGTCTCCATGACTTCTATGTGGAAGTGTACGAATATGACCCTGCCCAGTACCCATCGCAACCCGCTCGGGTCTGCTTAGATTACGAGGGCGTGGTCCTAGCCGGCACACCCGTGACTCTGCCTTGTACCACTGTGTTCACGGGACGTTTTGTCAAACTGAGACGTAAATTCAAGAATCCCGGTGACGACAGATTTACTATTTGCGAGCTAGAAGTCTACGGGCCGGATTCATGTTTGAAAAGTACGTATGTTGCTAGATTCATACATAACATTTACTGCCGTTGCCATACCAATAGAGATATAAAAGAATTTTACCATATTGTTAATGCTTGTACATTCATGCTTCACACGTTTGGCAGTTTGTATATTAAAGTAGAACAAGTAGTGTTGTTGACGTTGCATCCCTGGTTCGTCTAGATGATGATTCTTTGTTAACGTCATACCCGTGCTGATGGCTGCCATCAAAGTGGTAATCGTTCCAAGACCTACATCACTTCGGCCTTTCCTTCCGCATAAAGATGGCACACCGTGATACAACTGAATAAAGCGATAAAACCATTTCCATAAATTATAAGAAATATCTAGAAAAAAGTCGATTGTTCCCCGAAAGTTTTGAAATGTAGACACTAAAGGCTGGAGGTGCAGGACTAGTGCTCGACATAAAGGGAATTTTTTTTGAAACGTTAAGTCATCCCTCTTGTCAAACAGCAGTGTGCAGATATTTTTCTGTCACTCTAAGTCTTCATGATTTGATCGAAATATGAATTAGATCAATGTTCAATAATATTCAAAGCGTTGAACAACCTAAAATGAAGCGACAGTGGGCAATGGTATGTTCCGAAAACATCAATTTATTTGACTTTATTTACTGAACTCAAACGACAATACCTACAAGATTTCTTATTAATATATATTTGTATCATTCTTATTTCGGGAAAAGATCAAAACCGCTTCTCAAGTAAGTTAACATTGTACATAATATACTGAACCGCAAAAGAAACGTCACCATGCATAGATATATGAGAAACCTTATTTGTCCAAACACTGTAAATACATAATCACGAGGTATTCGCGAAAGGGGCGACCCTATCCTGCCCCAGTAATGACACTCGTCACAGATACATGTAAAGGAAAGTCAAGTTTTCACCTGACTAACACGGGAACATATGTCCCACAGGTGTTATTCGGTTATTTACAGACTGCTATGGTATCACTTTAATGCTGTTGGTTACGGCGTAAAAAAACATTTACTCAATCCATCCACTTTTTTCTTCAGGTAGCAGTTTCCGCCGCACAAATAACAAGCGAATGGACTCAAGCAACACCATCACTCCCACACTTGGGGCGACTGTTGAACGATGTGCTCTCTTATGTTCTGAGGACAAGGACTGCTTCAACTTCAACCATCAAAGATCAGACAACTCTTGCGAAATAATCCACGAGGGGTCCACAGTAGACGACAATGGAGACTGGGATCACTATTCTCTTCAGGTGTAATGGAAGCTGTGGTCTGAGTCGTAAAAAATGAAAAAATTTGTTACTTCCCTTAGCCGTGTTTGGATCCACTGGTTATGAGATTTAAGTCCAGTTTCGGCCCAGTTTTTATGACTCTTGGTCTGCCACCTCCATACCCTACTTTCGTTTGTTTCACAAAAGGGTAAACGCCTGCGATCTATGCCACTTTCCTCTCACATGATGCTAAACCGTAGTTGAATAACAGTTGAATAACCAAAAAAGGCGATAAGCACATTGTGTTTCAATATAGAAGCAGCAACATGAAGTGGCCACCTTTAAAGATAATTAATTAAATACTGAAAGGTTTAGTAATACACCACGCGTCACTATTGTGACGGACCCGTGAAGATCAGGGGTAGAATAGGTCTTCAGCAACCCATTCTTGCCGTAAATGGCGACTATGCTTGTCGTAAGAGGCGACTAACGGGATCGGGTGGTCAGACTCGCTGGCTTGGTTGAGGCATGTCATCGTGTCCCAACTGCGTGGATCGATGCTCATGATGTCAATCACTGGATTTTCTCGATTGTCACTGGATACAGACTCGATTATTTACAGACCGCCGTCATATGGCTGGAGTGCGGCGTAAAACAACAAACCAACCACCCTACTCATCCACACGTGGCTATTTACAGGTAGCCATCATTTAGCTGGAATATCGCTGAGTTTTAACTATGTTTTAGCTAATTTTCATGCCATATGACTAGAAACGTGCTTTATAACCTACGTAGATACATCCTACAGGCAAAGTGCAACGTTATATTCAAATTGTATGGACACATGAAAATTCGATGTGTGTGAAACTGAAATGGCACTAAGGAGAAGAGATCCACGCACACACTAAAGGAAAAGGTAACTGTGCTTCTTATCAAGTTCAACAAAAATACATTTATTCTGAAATACATATTCATGAGCACATCCTCGACTTTAAGGTCGTGATTCACATTTTAATGTATGCACATATTGTCATTAACTGCATGGTATTGTTTGGGTAGCGAATATATTTAACCTTTATCATCCGTTAACATAATACCGCGTATCGTGTATAATTTTGTTTTGTTTTGTAAGCATGATACTCACACCCTTGCTCTTCTAATGTGAACAGCACACAGTGAATATTAAGCTCTCAAGTCCTCATAAAAAACGGTTTTGTTTAACCGACTTGCTCATGACTTGTCACGGCCTGTCATCAACGTGTGACGTCACATTATCAATGAGTGGCACAAACGGACGCAACTGGTTGCAACCGGCCGCGACGTCAAGCGATACGCCCAATTTTGCTTCAGCGTCAGACAGCATCTGAGGTTTAGAAAACAATACTAGGGCAGTATACTGATAAGCAGATGAGTCAAGGTTTAATCTGGACATATATGATGGTCGTGCAAGGTTCTACAGGCGTTCAGGAAATAGTTTTAATTAGTGACGCTAGGTTTGGGAGAACACAACTCATCATTGTGAATGGCAATTTGAATGGCGTATGGTACTGAGACGAAAGCGTCCGAGGTCATGGTCTACCCTTTGTGCAAATGGAGGGATGTACTATCACGTTGCAGCAGGATAATGGACGTGTTGAAACATACTTCTTGAGGCAGCATAACACCGCTGTGCTGCCGTGGCATACTGTTTATCCAGACTCTCACCCATAGAACATGTCTGGAATGAGATGGAACGACGCCTACGACAGGACCAGAACCAACTGGTCAGACAAATCTTTGGTTGACATTTGGAACAACATCCTCCAGGCTGTTTTCAATCATCTGGAGTCTTCAATGCGCCGCCACTGCCTTGCCTGTATCAAAGCAAATGGTGGTCACACCCGATATTGACATTGTTAACTAAGTCATTTACCACCTCTCTTTTAATGCGTGTCGTTCTGATAAAACTTTGTTCACACGAACAGCTAAGTAAAATGTCATTTTCCTTAACATACCATTTACACCACTTTATATGAAGCACAATTACCCTTTTTCGTTGGTATGTTAGCCTTACTGATTGTATATAGCTATTGTATATTTGGCTTTAGTATCTATTAACTTCATGGTATTGTATGATGTCGTAAATAATCTATGTTATATGCGAATTATTTTGTTTCCTAATTGAGTTCATCAGCGCATAACTGTTAAAATGGAATATATACTGTATTTTAATGCATGTACATGTTGCATGGTTTTGTTTTGGTATCGAATACATTCAACGTTTATCATAGAATTCGTTAACATAATACCGCGATCGCCTCGTTAACCGATGGTACTTGTTTTGTAACCTGGCTGGCGCTAGGAATTAAGGGAATAAAACTAGGATTGGTGGGCTCGGAGTATAAGTGCAAAAATCTTGCAGGTGACGTTGAACTCCGTTTCATCTGATTTTGAGCATGTTAATGTATGCATACTTACTTTGAAACATTAAATTGCACATATTGGCTGTTACAAACATTTGTCATCGAATCGACCATTTGTATGGTCGGAACAGGTTGTATTCGTTCTGATTTTATTAAGCTACAATTATTAATAAATGGATCTCATCATATATAGCTTTGTATGATTTTAAAAGAAGCACACATATCTTTTTATAGCAGTGGAACAAACTTGGAAGAGTGAGTGACATGGGTTAAATGCCGCTTTAAGCATTTTTTAGCAAAGTGAAAGTGACAAAACTATTTCGATAATGAGACATATCTGCTAAAAACAGAGTAAACCACTGTCAATTAGTGACGATGTCAAGTGTCCTAACCATCGGTGGCGCATAAATGTCCTGTTCCAAATGTCCCATAGCCGTTATAAAGCCACGATGACCTTAAATGTCCCATACATTTCGTTTTTTTACACTTATTGAGACCAATCCTGGCATTTTACAACGGTATAATCGCTCAACACCAGTTATTTTTGCTGACATGTTATAACTATAAATGTACAAGTATCAATGATACAAAAAGCATTTCAACAACGCTGGCCAATATTTGAGGTCATCGTAGTGAGCGTTGGAAGCTGATGGAGGACGTTCGTTCCAGATGATGACGTTAGACTTTTGAGTTATTGTGATTACGAACGTCATCTACTTTAGGACTCAGTTGTCTCTGATGAATCTAGGGTATTACTCTGACGATGTTGTGGGATGTGCACGGATAGTATCGGTCACATTTACATTGTAGAATCCTGTAGAGTAGTAGCAACGCCGTCGTTGCAACAGAAAATCTCTAAGTTAAGTCGATTGGTATTGCTTACATTGGTCGTTATAAACCAGACCCTGGAGAATAATAAACAGGTAACCATATCAATAAGAAGGGGGAGGGGCGGTCGGGTAGCCTAATGGTTAAAGCGTTCGCTCGTAACGCCGAAGACCCGGGTTTGATTTCCGACATGGGTACAATATGTGATGCCCATTTCTGGTGTCCCCGCCGTGATATTGCTGGAATATTGCTAAAAGCGGTGTAAAGCTTAAGCCATACTCACTCACTTACTCCTTGTGAGTATAGTATCTGGTTAAGTGTAATAAGTGATAACATTGTTGTACCAGGATGTATGTGTTTGTAACATATTTTTAATTTATATCGTCTAGTATTCAGCAAATATGAATACGTTTAACACTATTTCAGCGATGTTTCAGCCATATTCCAGCAACATTTCATCCCTATCACGACGGATAGCACAGGTACTGGAGTGCCTTACCAGACATATTTCAGAAGTGGAAGAGGGATATAGGAATTGGTGCCGTCCTTCCGTCAATCCGTCCGTCCGCTCGTCCGCCGCATTTCATTTCCGGAGCAGAACACAAAAACCAAGAGGGATACCTTAACCAAACTTGGCACATAAATAGGTCTTGTGGTGAACTGGTGCCTTTTGATACTTAAAGATTTATTTTTTTAAACCGAGTTTCCCTGGCAACGACTTTGACTTAGACTGAAAATGGCGTAGTCCTTGTTTTCCGGAGCAAAACACACATACATAGGTCTCGAGTCGAACTGGTGCCTTTTGATACTTTTGGATTTTTTAATAAATCATTTTTCGAGTTTCCATGGCAACGACTTTGACTTACACTGTAAATGGCGGCAGTGCACGTTTCCAGAGCAGATCTTGAAAACGGTACAATATGTCTTCATCAAACTTGGCACATAAATTGTAGTAAACAAAAAACCATTGAATGAGATGACTAGATTGTGGAATAAAAGTCTGTTCACCTGCATACACCTTGTAGACAACATTCATAGTGATGGACTCAAGGTAGCTCACTTGAATGTTCGATCCCTCAATGCTCATTTCGAAGATGTGAAGAAGGAGTGGTACGTGTTTTGTGTTTCACAGAAACACACATCAATAATTATAGTGAAAAAGACCTGCCAGGATATAAAGTCTATCCAGGAGACACTACACATGGTATTGCTGTGTTTGTTTAAACAAGTTTCAAGAACAGTGTCCAGCTATGTGATGTAATGTCATCTCTTGTTGGCAAGTTCTGCATTGCTTGTATGTATTTTCCATCCAAACGTGTCCTGGACACGGTTGTCGCATTCACTTACTGATTTCATCCAGAAACTTCAGGATCTCTCCAGGCAGCATGAATGTGAACATGTCCTAGTTACTGGGGATTTCAACTGTGATCTGAGTGCAAAACTGAAACTTGAAGATTTCCTTTATGTACGGAAAATGACTCAACTCATTCACTCTCCAACTCACTTTCTTGGAGTTACATTGGACTTGTTGTTTACTGATCATGCCAGTGCTGTAGCATCCCAGACTCCAGTCTACGATTCAGATCATCAGATGATCTCAGTACACCGCATGGTGACCCCTGCTCACAATGATCTCTAAGTAAAGTAAGAACTCACTTACTTCTCTGATTATTGTTTAAGTAATAACACAACTCATTACAAATACAGTTACGTTTTCTATCATAAACTGCAGATGGCAAAACCATTAATAACTTTTTTAGTGCTGCAATTAGGCCATTTACAAAAAGGAGCTAATGCATTGCACACAACCGGACATTTCATATTAACGGTAATATGAGTATGTCATGATTGTTTAGTTTTGGTCTTGTTATCTATCAACGTTGCATAGTTGCTGTTGCTGTTGGTTTCGAAATGTAACGAATATGACACTTTTAAGAATCAATGCACACGTAAAATTATTGTGGAGGATGAAAAGGATCATTGATGCCTATCAATGATCTTTTTCATCCTCCAAAATAACCTTACGTTTCTTATTTGGATCCATATTTTTCTAAGGCAGGCATTCAAGTGTCTGGAGTGTTTGGCAAATACGATTCACATGCGAGACACTCGTGCGCATCGATTCTTAAAAGAGCTGTTCAGGAAGAACGGCCTTTTGCCATGTGTCATCAAAACTGTGTCTGTTTTGTGTGCGTGTTTAACGCCGTACTCAGCAGTATTCTAGCTGTGCGATGGTTGTCAGTAAATAATCGTGCCAGGCCA